CAGATGATAAAAGCAGTAAGTACAGATGTTAAAAACAGTAAGTACAGATGTTATAAACAGTAAGTACAGTTGATAAAAACTTTTAGAACAGCTGATAAACCTTTAAAACAGATAAAAACTATTAGAACAGCTGATAAAAGTGTTAAAACGGATGATAAAAACAGTAAGTACAGATGATAAAAACTATTAGAACAGCTGATACAGTAATTGTTGGGGGGGGGGGGAGGGAATATTGTACTTTGAACTTCTGCTTTTTATAACTGGTTTAATCATTTTGACTAACTTCATTTTTGACTATGTCAAAGAACCTGCTTTAAAAATGTCAACAATTACATGATTCACCATCTTCAAATCATTATCTTGGCCCCATTTTGCACATTTCATGGACTGTCACTGTCTATCTATCTTCACTCAATGATCTCTTTTTAAATGTAATCCACCAGTATCTTGTAGCTCATCTACCCATACAGCTTTGTCAGTGCTACTGTGTCCCTCACAGTCCTTAAACGTAACCAGACTAATTTTTACATTGCATTCAGATCACTATACAGGCATGAGAAAATAAAAAGTGTTTGTTTTTTATTCTAGCCAGAGAATTTGCTTCTAGCCAGCAAGTTGAAGGGAGCAGCTGTGAAGCTGGCAGATTTTGGCTTGGCTATAGAGGTGCAGGGAGACCAGCAGGCTTGGTTTGGTGAGTACTCTGAATTTCTTGGGTCATTTTTCAAAGTCTGTCTGTGGTGAACTTTCAGCCCAGTTAAAACATCTGGAAAAACTTAAAACGAGTTTCCAACAAAGTTAAGTCAGGTCCTCTGGACAGTTTCTTTTTGTTGAAACATTTCATCTTTCATACAAAAGACTTCATCAGTCCAAGGACCCACAACAAACTCAGTCTGCAGGATTAATCTCCCAGGTTCTATCTTATCTTATCTCATCAATAGCACCTTCACATAGTGGATCAACCAGTTTGATGGCGCTCAGATGGTTTTCGGAGTCCACCCTCTCCCCTGCCGATTCTTTTGAGGCAGTTATGTCCAAAGTGGTTCAAAACATCAAAGTTCATGCTCAATAATCCAATTAGAAAAATCCAACACAGTTAACTGGTTGACCCACTATGAGATGGTGCTATTTATAAGACTGAGTTTGTTGCAGCTCCTCGGACTGATAAAGTTTTTTGAAGAAAAGACGAAATGTTTCAACAAGAAGAAAACATCCAGAGGAACTGACTAAAGTTTGTTGGATTTTTCAACCTGGATTTGAGCATGAATCGGTACACGACCAGTTTCCTTCAGTTCTGACAGGTTTCTCAGTCCATGCTAATGGGGAACAAATATCCCCACAGCATGATGCTACCGCCACCATTCTTCACTGTATTGTCTCCAACCCTGCACATGCAAACAGGAAGTTTTACATTTGCATAAACATGCCATTTAAATTCCATGTTATAGCTGGCGTTTCCCTTCTTCAAAAAGGGGGACCGGAGGGTGCGTTTCCATTATAGGGGCATCACTCTCCTTAGCCTCCCTGGTAAGGTCTACTCAGGGGTACTGGAGAAGCGAGTCCAATCGTTAGTCAAACCTCAGATCCAGGAGGAACAATGTGGGTTTAGTCTTGGCCGTGGAACACTGGATCAGCTTTTTACCCTCACTAGGGTCCTTAAGGGGTCATGGGAGTTTGCCCATCCAGTCTACATGCGTTTTGTGTACTTGGAGAAGGCATTCGACCTTGTTCCTCGGGGTATACTGTGGGGGGGGGGGGGGGGGGGCCCCGGGAGAATGGAATTGGAGGCCCATTGTGTGGCGTTGTGACCCAGGCTGTTCAGTCCCTATACAAGCGGTGCAAGAGTTTGGTTCGCATTGGCGGCAGTAAGTTGGACCCCTTCACGGTGGGAGTTGGACTCCGCCAGGGCTGACCATTGTCACTGATTCTGTTCATAACTTTTATGGACAGAATTTCTCGGTGCAGCCAGCTGGCGGAGGGTTTCCGGTTCGGTGGCCTCAGGATTCCATCTCTGCTCTTGGCAGATGATGTGGTCCTGTTGGCGTCATCGTGCCGTGATCTTCAGCTCTCACTGGAGCGGTTCGCAGCCGAGTGTGAAGTGGCTGAGATGAGAATCAGCACCTCCAAATCTGAGGCCATAGTCCTGAACCGGAAAAGGGTGGATTGCTCTCTTCAAGTCGAGGGTGAGATTCTGCCTCAAGTGGAGGAGTTCAAGTATCTCAGGGTTCTGTTAACGAGTGAGGGAAGAATGGAGCGTGGGATTGACAGACGGATTGGTGCAGCATCTGCAGTGTTGCAAACTCTGTACCAGTCCTTTGTGGTGAAGAAAGAGCTGAGCTGTAAGGCAAAGCTCTCTGTTTACCAGTCAGTCTACGTTCCTACCCTATGGTCATGAGTTCTGGGTAGTGACTGAAAGAATGAGATTGCGGATACAGGCGGTTGAAATTAGTTTTCTCCGCAGGGTAGCTGGACTCTCCCTTAGAGATAGGGTGAGAAGTTCAGTTATCCGGGAGAGACTCGGAGTAGAACCGCTACTCCTCCACATTGAGAGGAGCCAGTTGAGGTGATTTGGGCATCTGGTAAGGATGCCCCCTGGGCGCCTCCCTAAAGAGGTGCTTCGGGCATGTCCAACTGTGAGCAAGTAGGTGTATCTGCAGACAAATTCAGAAGGCGTATCTGGAGGGCTACATCTGATTGGACGATAAAACAATGGGCGTATCTGGAGAGTCACATATGATTGGACAATAGAAAAATGGGCATGTCCGGAGGGCCACATCTGATTGGACGATAGTAAAATGGGTGTATCTGGAGGGCCACATCTGATTGGACGAAAATTAAAGGCTGAACAAAAAAAAGCCTTTTTTGTTAACCACAGACATATTATGTCTAAAAACAAGGTGTTATTGGCAGATTGTGTTAACCACATACATATTTTGTCTATGGTGTTAACCGGTTCGACATTAGCTGCGTCTCGGGTTCAACATTGGCGGCGGCTTGTTTCAACATTAGCGGCATCTCCATACCTTCTCTTTCCGCCTCTCTTAACACAGAACTTCCGGTTACATTTCAAAATAAGAGCAACGTAATTCGGTAGTGGGGAGGGCTAAATGTTTTTTTTCTTTAATACCTAGCCATTACATTAAAAAACAAAATCCGTTTTGGTTGTTCAATAATGTGAAAATAGTTGCAATCAATTCATAAAGAAAAATAAAGTAACCAAATTAATAATGATGCGTTAAATGGCCTTGGGACAAAGGATGTTTCCTTTAACTTCACATTTTCTTGTTGAACCTTTTAAAGCAGACACTGCAGATGAGTGATTGTCAGTTTCTGTAAGATTTCTGCAACTGGAGCAGGTATTTCTGTTTACTGGTTAGCTTCCTCAGCTGTCTCACATTTTCAGGGTCAATCCTACTCCATGTTTCAGCTCCTTTCATAAATCAGATCTCATAGAAGAGCACTTCTAAAGAGCTAATTTTGTTTTTAGCTTTTGTTTTGGGCCATTATCTCATTACAGGACTCATGATCTTTAAGTAAGACCAGACTTTTTGACAAATGGGAGCAGGTTTTGCTTCAGATGCGTCAAATTTCATTGTACCCAGACCACATTCAAGCCAACCTGTGTCAGGTGCAGCCTACAACCCAAGAACAAAAGAGAATCTTATTGTGTTTGACAGCAGATATAATGCTGTTTCTTAGAAACCTTCAGTTTAAAAAAAGAGTTGACATAACTTAGCTAAAGAGCCAGCAAATACAGCTAGCCAATCAGTGTTTGCCCTCTAGAAACGCCTATCAAATACAGTTAGCCAATCAGTGTTTGTCCTCTACAAATGCCTATTCTCCAGAAACGCCCACTTTTGGTCTGCTGAGAACCCCTTCTCACTGGGAGGAGACCCTGGGGAAGACCCAGGACACGCTGGAGAGACTACGTCTCTCGGTTGGCCTGGGAACGCCTTGGAATACACCCAGAAGAGCTGGAAGAAGTGGCTGTGGAAAAAGATGTCTGGGCCTCCCTGCTCAAGTTGCTGCCCCCGCGACCCGACTTTGGAATAAGCGGACAATAATGGATGGATAATGGGGAAAGTACGCCAGGATGCCCTTTCATCAAACAGCACAGAATGCCTAACTATTGAACAATATTTGGCCAAAGTGTTCTTCTTGTCCAAAAAGCTGGGGCAGTTCATGATTTTTTTTTCATTATTGCTGACTGAAGGCACCACACAAGCCTGACAAAGTTTCCTCACCTTAACAGTTGGGTTCTTAACTGGGCTCAGATGTTCACGCCAGCACATTTAATTTTTAGTATGAAACCTTTTCAGTTATTGAATGCATCCCAGATGTCAGCATGCATTTATACTGTAAATCTAGTTTGGGCATTTGCTTAAACATCTAAGTCTGTTCAGTCTGAATCAAATGTACCTCTGCCGTTGGCTCTCTTGTAGGATTATTTTTGTCGGTATGTCTGAACTATTTCTCTCTCAACATTCCCCGTGGATCAGAGAAATGAGTCTAGTCCCTAAGTGACAGCCTCTACTGGGAACCAATTAATTTTGTATTCTTACTTTACCACAAAGTCTCTAACTTCTTTATTGCTTTAGACTCTGAGTTAACATTAAGGCTGGTCTAAAATTAGGTCATATGTTTCTGATGGTGAGCCAGGCCACTCACCTTCTGACAAATGCTTTCACTTGGAACTGGTTAACTTTGATTCATAAACTTTACTTTATTTTGCCTCCACTCCTTCGTGATTATGAAATGTTTTATCCTGACAAATTCCTCATAGACTTTCTCATCCCACATAGTCCCAGGTTTAATATTTAAATGTGTGTATAAATCTGTTTCAGGTTTCGCTGGTACACCAGGGTACTTGTCACCTGAGGTGCTGAGGAAAGATCCTTATGGCAAGCCTGTGGATATGTGGGCCTGTGGTAAGTCTTGGCAGGCATGACTGGGTGGGGAAAATAAAAAATTTGCATCTTTACTAGATGAAGTGCCATGTACTCTTTTCATCACCCCATCACTAAGGTCAAGGTCAACATTATACAAGGTATTTGCTTGTCTGAGACATTGTTATAGACTGCTGTATAATAGTTTGCTGACAGGCATTGCTGTATGTGGTAATGTGAGTTAATGCATTGGCCATACATTGTCCACATATTTTGTGGGCAGCTGTGGCTGAGTGGTTAGAGCAGTCGTCCTTCAATGCAAAAGTTGGGGGTTCAATTCCACCAGAATTCACATGCCGAAGTGTCCCTTGGCAAGACACTAAAACCCTCATTGCCTACGATGTGTGTTCCAATGGTGTGTGAATGCGATAAAGCACTGATTAGTTTTTGTAGAGATCTAGTAGTGTGCTGTATGAATGGGTAAATGAGGGCACAGATTGTAGTGTAAAGTGCTTTGAGTATCTTGGTAAGATAGAAGGGTGCTATATAAGTACAGTCCATTTACCATTTACTTGAAGGAGTTCAAGAATCTCTTGGTTCTGTTTACAGTGAGGGAAGAATGGAGTACGAGACTGTTGGATAGATGTAGCTTCTGCAGTATTGCAGATTCTGTGTCAATCCCTTGAGGTGAAAAGGGAGCAGAGCTGTAAGGCAAAGCTTTTTTTACTGGTCAGTCTACGTTTCTACGCTCGCTTATGGCCACAAGCTTTGGGTAGTGACTGAAAGAACAAGATCATTGATCCAGGTGGTTGAAATTAGTTTTCTCAGCAGGGTAGCTGGACTCTACCTTAAAGATAGGGTGAGAAGTTCAATTATCCAGGAGAAATTCAAAGTAGAACCGCTGCTCCTCCACACCCAGAGGAGCCAGTTGAGGTGGTTCAGACATCTGGTAAGGATGTCCACTGGATGCCTCTCTAGGCAGGTGCTTTGGGCATGTCCAACTGGGAGGAGACCCCATGGAAGACCCAGGACACATTGGAGAGACTATTGGCACTTTGCCACTTTTGAAACTCATCGGTTTTGTGTCACACAGGACCCAAAGGACCTACCCACTGCCAGCACCCACACCCACTCAGTTCAGATTAAGGGACCTAATTGATTGAGGTTCCAAGCAGACTGCTCTGAGGTGTCAATTTTTACGTAAGCAGACAGCAGCCATTGATTGGCCAACCAAGTTACATCACTGGGTGACCCACTCAGCAAAACTGCAAACTACATCTGATTCTCCACTTCCTCATCGTGTTGATGAACAACACTGCAAGAAATGAATGCATTTACAGAGAGATCTCAGAGATGATGGCACAGCATGGCTGCACCCAGACTTATAAGCAGTGCTGTGCTGAGATAAGCTAAAGAAATTGAACTCGGATTATAGGGTGATTAAGAACCACATCAGGCAGAGTTGCTCGAACACAAAAAGACCAGTAGCAATCTCGACTCCAGAGCAAGGAAACGAGTCCCAGTGGCAAATCACCTCCACCTAAGAAGAACCGATAAGACAAGAGCCGAGTGGAGTTACACTTATCAAATGCAAAGCGGCTTTTGTCTCTCTGTTGGTCTGGGAATGCATTGGCGTCCCCCCAGAAGAGCTGGGAAAGCTGTGGAAAAGGATGTCTGGGCCTCCCTGCTCAAGATGCTGCCCTCAAGACTCTACTCCAGAACAAGATGATGGATATATGGATGGATGTTGCCCACATCTGTTGTAAGGGAAACAAATATAGTGTATGTTTAGGTAAAGTACATAAACAATGGTGCTCTGCTCACCCTGCACACGGTCTGTTCGAACCACTCCCCTCAGGCAGGAGGCTTCGGTCCATTCGGACCAGAACCTCCCGCCATAAGAACGGTTTCTTCCCCTCTGCTGTTGGACTCCTGAACACTCATAATGCTACCTCATAATTTCTGCTTTGGTCACATTACATCTGTATTATAATTGAATACTCCATCTGTATTGTTTTCAAAGCTTTTTTATTGTTTTCTATTGTATGGGTGTACACATGTTTTACGTTACGTTTTCATTCTTACTTTATT